AGGCATCGCGCGCGGCGAAACACGCAGCTAGCGGCGGCCGGAGAACTCGGACAGCACACGCACGCAACGCATAGACTCATGCGAGGCAACCTTAGCAATATAGATTAGAGCGCTTTGACCCATTCACAATCCAAAACAGATTCAATGTAAGAACGTCAAGGTTGTTTAAAGACTGTACTATGCCTGTCTCTTCTGCAAATCCCAAAAATAAGATGAGAATACACAATATCTATCAAAAGACACAATGTCATATTTTATTAAGTTATGCGAAAACTCTTTGATATAAACTTTCTTTCTAGGGAGACTTCCACGTCGACTAAAAAGATCGGATTCTACAGACAAGAAGCCGTTCGATTGAAGAGAGGGAGCCGACAAGAGAAGAAGAAAATGACGATGCGATTTTCTAAGCAAATTACATGCTTACTTCCTTTCAAATAATTCACTTCGCTGATAAACAATTCAATAAGTAGCATTGAAGAATAAATGTGCAACACGCATATGTATAGTCTAACAATGAAACAAATCAGATTGTAGTAGCTCTTTGGAAACTACGGCCCTACGGAAGAAAGCAATAAGCGTTTGCTTTGGGGATTGTAACAGCCATATGATATTACTTCCTGGAGGCGGATAAGTAATATTCCTCTAGGGAATCAGTATGGACAAGAAGAGGTGTTAATGACGACCCGATAATGATTATAAACAAAAGGCTATGGCTTCACGACTTTGATCGTAGGTTATGGAAGAATAGGTATGCGCAAGGCATATGTGATTAAAAAGAGTTCAACATGGGTTGACTGAAGGGGTATAAAAAGCTTCAACGAGTAAAAACGTTTTCAACAAACTGACTAGTAATATGTCTACTGACTCGAAACTCTATGCTCATTCCATGAGCGTCATTCAAAAGGCCAACACTGCTGCAACACAACAACTATACCTAGCCGATGCAGCAACTTCAAACCTCAACTCAAACCCTCAGCCAGGTTTGTGCATGCTTACGGATAGTCGGCATAGTTCCACAATTTTAGGAAATCCGCATGCAGAGACTTCGCAGATACAACTGCAAGAAACACGGGGGCCTTACATTGGAAAGAAAGAGGTAAGTAAACGTGGGAAGCACCCCGTTCTGGTTTATCTGCTGGCTGAAACGTCGTACTCCTTCGCCCTCGCGCGTAGAGGTGCTCGGCACGATTCTTATATTTGCATAGGATGTGAGAAGAGTGGAGCGTGGAAAAGTATAAAGGTTTGACTAGACAAGCTG